CTGCCCAAGTCAGGAAGACAAAGGTTGAAGTCCTAGGGTGGTCTATTCTTGCAGATTCTGGGCTGCAGCACTGCATGGAGTAGGCTTCTGCGGCAGGGTCTGTACCGTACCCAGGCCTGGCTGCTGCAAGGTGACAGGTCAGCGTACCTTGGCTCACAGTGCCTTAGGACCCCAGCCTGCAGGTTGGGCTCCATTTGGCCACAGGTTGTGTTGTAGCCCACGCGCCCACCCACCCAGGCTGCCCCCCACCCCCACCCCCAGTACACTGCAGCCGCTTCTCGCCAGGGACTGATGTTCTGGCTCTTGGCTCAGCAGCTGGGAGCCAGGTCAGCATCGTGGCGACCAAGCTTACCAGGGCCCTGGATCTCTTGCCTCCTGATTCTTAGACCTGGAAGCCCCCAGCCTTCTGCCAGTCGGCTACTGCACCAGGCCTCACACACATGGGGACACCACAGATTGTCACCCTGAAGGTCGGACGAGCCCTTACTGGGGATGGATGAGCTTCTCTTTCCCTTTGGTCCCGTGGTGGCCTTGTCTCCCTGTGGTCCCCTGTGCAGGAGCCTGGCCTTCCCCTCTGGCCTGTGAGCTCTGCAGCCACCTGTTCAGCTATAGACCCTCTGTCTGGGGGCGCCTGGCTCATGGCAGCTTCCCAGGAGTGCTTTTATCACAATAAAGGGGACAAGTGGTTCAAGGGTCTGGGAAGTTCAATGAATGCAGTGATTTAAAATGTGACGGGCGAGGGTTTTAGGAGAGGACGGAGAAGAAGCTTCTTCCGGAGGCGGTGAGGAAAGCTGACAGGGCACTTCGCATAGCGCAAGAGACAACTCGGGCTCCAGGGCATGTGCTTTCCTCCCGGCTTCAAGGGCTTTCCTCCACTTCTGTGCAGGAAGAGCCCCAGTAAACGGAACTTCTTCAGACCACTTTGAGTTCTCCCCATCAGAGAGGCTCGGCTTCCTTCTGCGATGGCCTCTTTTTCTTTTTTCTTTTTGGTTCCAGGGATGGAACCCAAAGGTGCTCAACCACTGAGCCACATCCCTAGCTCTTTTAATATTTTCTTTTGAGAAAGGGTCTCGCTGAGTTGCTTAGGGCTTTGCTAAGTTGCTGAGGCTGGCTTTGAACTTAAGATCCTCCTGCCTCAGCCTCCTGAGCTGCTGAGATTACAGGTGTGCACCTCTACACCTGGCTTGTGATGGCCATTTATTTGATAGAGACAAACTGAATCCCATGGGGGGCATGGAATGCAAAACCAGAGGTCAAGAAGGGCTTCCTCCTCACTTCTCCTTCTCCTTGGTTTTCCTTGGCTTTCATTCTCCTGGTCCTCACCACAGGAAAAGCCCCCCTAGACTTCCTACCCTTCCTCAGGTATGTATCAGGTCTTGAGTGGCTCAGCCACTTCTCAGAGGGTGAGAAGAAGCCTGCCTGAGTTTTCATTTTCCCAACGAGAAGCCAGTGCAGGAGAAGCATCTTCTGGCCTCCCCACCCGCCGACCCTGATGGAAGCCGCAGCCCCTGGCAGGCTGAGGAACCATCCAGGAAACCCACTGAGGTCACAGCTTGATAAACACACCTGAAATCCCATTTCCTAGGTCAGAATGGGGTTTCCCCCTCTGGGTAAGTTGAAGACACAATTAAGAGTTTTGCTGCCAGCTCCAGATCACTTGAGATCTCCTGTGTCAAACTCCAGGTTTACACAGAACGTCTGTGCTGGAACAGCAGCATGTGGAGATGTTGATAAGAGGAGAATCTGTCTAAGCCCTCAGATGACCTCAGTGAGTGCCTTGGGGCCATGTGTGCCATCGTTGTTGGCGTGACAGTGAGTGCGTGTCGGCCATCCTGGGGCACAGATGTAGAAATTCAAGGCCGGAAGGAACGGGGCCTGGACCAGGAATCCAGAGATTCTAGTTAGAGCCCAACCACTTACCCATGCCTGGGCCTCAGGGAGCCTGTTAGCATGTTGAGTTGCAGGTTTCTCCTTTAATGTAAAAACTCAGTTGTCTTGGGGTGTGGTGGCGTGAGCCCGCAATCCCAGCTACTCAGGAGGCCGTGGCAGGAGGATGGCAATTTAGGAGCCATCCAGGTAATTTAGCAAGACCCTGTCTCAAAATTTAAAAAACAAACCACAACAAATAATAATCAGACAGAAAGAACTGGGGGTGTAGCTCAGTGGTGGAGCATCCCTGTGCTCAATCACCACACTGCAAACAAAACGAAACCACAGTTGCCTATCACATAGGATTGTAATGGAACGAAATAAAATGTCTATGGTATGGGGCAGCTAAGGCAGAAACTGTAAGGCCCTGTGGGAATGTAAGGTTTTGAGAAAATAAACACATTGGATGTCAGAGAGCACAGGGAAACCGCCATTCTTGTTCTAACCCAAGTGGCTCATTCATCTCCTTGGCCCTTCCTACATCCAGGGTTTCATTTTTTTGTTGTTGTTGTTTTGTTTTTTTAAACTGATGGTCTCCCATGCCATGCATAGAACTTTTTATTATTATTATTATTATTAGAGAGAGAGAGAGAGAATTTTAACATTTATTTTTAGTTTTCGGCGGACACAACATCTTTCTTTGTATGTGGTGCTGAGGATCGAACCCGGGCGCACGCATGCCAGGCGAGCGCGCTACCGCTTGAGCCACATCCCCAGCCCTCATTTTGTTTTTTATAGTAGCCTCTGGTACAAAAGAAAAGCAGTTTCTTCTTGCCAGGTTCCACACACATTCTCGGCAAGCAACCTGCTTCTAATCAAGGGAGCAGTCGTGTTGAGCCGGCCAACCTAAAGACTGGCAGCCTAGACCAAAGGCACGTTAAACGTTGATTGGCAGCTCATCCACTTAATGTCACCGTGTCTGCCTGTGTGGGTTCAGTCACAGATGAACATTTGGAGGCAGAGCCTAAAATTCCGATTGTGTGTGTCGTCTTGTTGTCTAAGCCTGTTTTCTGCTGGAGCAGGAGCTGAGGCTGGGTGATTTATAAGAAAGAGAAATTTATTTGGCTCACAGTTCTGGAGGCTGGGAAGTCCAAGGTCAACTAGTGAGGGGCCCTTTTGCCATGTCATAACATGCAGACGGCATCCCATGGGAGGGAGAGGGCAGGGAACAGGTCCGAACTCCGTCCTTTAATCAGGACCCCTCTGACAACACTAATCCATCTGTTCAGACATAGCCCTCGGGGTGTCGGCACCTCCCACCGCAGTTGTGCTGGGGACCCAGTTTCCAGTAGGAGAATGTTGGGGGCACTTTCAAGCCACAGCACTGTCCTTCATTTACTTCTCATACCAGTCCTGGGACGTTAGTGCTACTGCCGTCTCTGTTCTACAGCAGAGGGAGGGTAACCCGGGAGTAGTGACCTGGGAACCAGAATACTCTCAGGCACAAGTCTGTGAATACGCAGCCTTTAGCATAGGTTATTACCACACATTTCATTAATTAATGTATATTAATTCACACCTACTTTTAATTTCCCCCAACATAACAAGCAAGGCCCTAGAGCAGGGGGCATCAGCCACTGTCCTTATCAGGCAAATCTGTGGCCCATGCTTTGCTATGAATACAGTTTTATTGGAACACAGCCACAGCCCCTCATTTGTGTATTAAACGTGGCTGCTTTCGTGCTACAACCACAAAGTTGCGCGGTTGTGATGGGGAGTGTGTGTATCCTCCACAAAGCTGAAAATATTTACTGGGCAGAGTCGGCCACGCCCTGCCCCAGAGCTGTCTTGCCCTCTAGTCATTGGGAGGTGTGTGCCCTCCTTTTCTCCTGCCCTGTGGAGAGTCTTCTGCGTGTCCACCATATACTGGGCTCCTCGTCTAGACCCTCGCTCCAGGATTGCTAGTGTGCCCCTGTGGCTTCCCTCTAGCCAGTGTGGGTGTGGGTCTTCAGCATAGCCCAGTCCTGTAGGCGCCCCTCCCGAGGTGGAGGAGAGTGGGTCACGGCCTCTCAGAGCCTAGAGTCTGCTCAGGAGTCAGGGAAGGACCAGCCCTGGGGTGGTGTGAGGAGAGCTACAGAGCTAGTGAGCCGGGGGCCCCGGAGTTCATCAGGGGCCGAGGGGGCTTCCTAAAGGATGCCTGAATGGGTTTCTGAGGGGTTACCTGGCAGGGGAGGAGAGGCCCTCAGGGGAGGGGCAGCCAGACATTGGCCAATGCAGCTCTTGGTAATCAGCAGCATAGAGATTAGGGGCCTGGTTTTATGTGGTCAGCACTGCGCAAGTGGCCTGTTTGGCCTGGTCCTCGTGTGGCTTGACTGGGTTCCAGCAAGTGTGGAGCCAGCTACAGCTCTGTGTGCCTGGAAGTTGTTTGTTCCGGGAAAGACTTAGAACTTTTCCCTTGCCTTGGGGTCTGAGTTGCACCATTCAGAGGCCAAGTGTCAAGCCAAACACAGGCCAGGTCCCTGTTGGTGGACATTCTGGTTTTTAATTTCCCAACTCTTTGGCTTTGAGTCAACATGAGTCAGCCAAAAGCTTGTGGGGTCAAAGGACACATTTAAGAAAAACTTAAAATTCCTTAGAACCCAGTGATGTCTGTCAACGGATAGACAGACAAAATGTGGCATAGCCAGACCAGAGATGTCACCCAGCCAGCCATCAGGGAGGGCAGGACTGACCCAAGGTAGGATGGGATAACCTTGAAGACCTTCACCAAGAGAAGGGCCAGACTCCAGACTGGACGAGGCCTGGCGGTCTCCCGGGGCTGGGAGGAGGGGATGGGAGCAGCTGCTGCTGGGCTCAGGTGGTTGCATGGCCCTGAGAAGGTACCAAATGTGCCACTGACATTTGAAAACGGTTCATTTTATCTTTGCCCCAATTTTTAAAAATTTCCAAAAATTGCTTAGGAGAGAAAAGGAAATATAAATAGATTATTGATAGTTACATAAATTAAATAAGAGTGATCTTTTATTTTTTAAAAAATGGACAGAATGAAACCTATCCACAAGGGGAGGCTGCCCTTGGGTGCCCCCCCGACACACCCCAGCTGATGGCCCCTTTTGCTGTCTTCCCGACAGAGGCAGAGAAAACCCGGTGTCAGCAGGAGCGAGAGCACATTCTCGGAGCCGCGGGAGCAGCCGACGCGCAGAGGCCCAGGCTCCCTGGGCTGTTTGTCCCCGAGTGTGACGAGCACGGGCACTACGCGCCCACGCAATGCCACGGCAGCACTGGCTATTGCTGGTGCGTGGACCGGGATGGCCGTGAGTTGGAGGGCACCAGGACCAGACCCGGGATGATGCCCCCATGTAAGTGGACACAGGGTTGCCCAGCTAGCGACCAGAAGGAGTGCCTGTGGGGCTGCTGTCACCCGCCCTGGCCTCTCCCCACCCTCCTACCACTTCTCTTCCTTCTCTGAATGTCCAGCGGGGCCTGTGGCATGGGTCCTGAGGTGGTGGCAGAGAGGGTGTGTGGGAGGCCTGGCCTTGGGCTGTCTGGGCAAGGGGACGGCAGGGAAGGCAGGAACCGCCCCTGGTGGTGGGGTTTGTTCCCTCCTTCACAGTTGTGCCTGAGGGCCTTGAGGTGCCCAGGCCACCCTTCAGGCCACCCTTCAGCCCATGGGGCAGCCTGTGCAAGCTGGCTCTGAACCCTCCTCACCACAAAGGCTCCAGGGGGCCCGAGGCCCAGCAGGGCTGTGGGGCCCTGGGCAGACTCCTGCCTCAAGCTAAGGCCGAGGTCTGAGCAAGGACATTTCCCAGCTCTAAGGGTCTGCCTCTGCCATAAATGTGGAAATTGGTCACTGTCACAAGTCACCAAAAGCCAAGATAACGAATTTTGGATCTCCACACTCAGTGTAGCTAGTGATCCTAGATTGATCCCCCACCAGATGTTTCTCCACAGCTGCTAAGAAACAGCAAAGCGATTGTCACAACTCCACGTTTCACTCAGCCAACACAGAGTGGGTGGCAGTGTGGGGGGATGCCAAGGAAAGTCACGGTGCCACCCCCGGAACCCAAGGGCAGGGACCAGACAGGAACAGGGCCGGGAGGAGAGCCCACAGGGGTCCTGGTGTGCACGGTGGGCTGATGGGGAGGCCTCTCAAAGCAGCACCTCATAAACCATAGCTTTGAGCAGGGCCAGGAGTGAGCAGCATAGGGAGAGGACGGCCTCTGTGGCCAGGCTGAGCCCCTGGGTGCTGGTCTTGGGGTGCCCTGTCCCATGCAATAGGAAGGGGCTTCTGATGGGCAGTAAAGGACTCAGCAGCACCCAGGGGAAGGCAACTCCCTTCAGCAGGGATTTCCGGCTGCTGTGCCTCACCACTGCAGCCGGTGTCCAGTGACAGAGGAATAGCCCAGTCCTTTCTGTCAGAAGGAGGCTAGCCACTTCCCCCTGCACCTGGAATGCCCAACTCATGTGCTGCCTCATCGTCACCAACACCCTCGTGTTGACTGCAGGCCTCCTGCTTTGGAGCTTGCAGAGGGAAAATGAGCCCTGTATGGCTGTGCATCTTGTGGTGCCAGAAAGGTGACGTGACCTGGCATGTGGGTGCCTGTGTGGGTGTGTGCATGTGTCTGTGTAGGTGTGCTCGCGTGTGTGTGCATGTGTCTGTAGGTGTGCTTGTGTGTATGCATGTGTCTGTGTAGTGTGCTCATATGTGTGTGCATGTGTCTGTGTAGGTGTGCGCATGTGTGTGCATGTGAATTGTTTATGTGTGTGCACCTGTGAGCATGTACGTGTGCACCTGTGAGCATGTACGTGTGCACCTGTGCATCTCCCGTGTGTACAGCCTTGCTCATTGACTGTCCTGTTCCCCAGGTCTGAGTACAGTGGCTCCCCCCGTTCCCCAGAGACCCTTGGTGCCTACAGCCGTCATCCCCCTGCCCCCTGGGACCCACTTGCTCTTTGCCCAGACTGGGAAGATCGAGCGCCTGCCCCTGGAGGGCAGCACCATGAGGAAGACGGAAGCCAAGGCGCTGCTTCACATCCCGGTGAGTGCCAGCCTCTGGGCCTGGTGGCAGCTCCTGCTCCCATGCCCCAGAGAAACGAGCAGAGCAGCCAGACCAGGACCCCTGGCTTGGCCCCTGGAGCCAGGCACCCCCTCCATGGGGCCTGAGTGCTCACCTCACTGGGGCCCCCCATTGCCCAGCTAGCCGAGAGGCTCACAGTGAGACAGAGTCAGACACAGCCAGCCTTCCAAAGACGCCTTGCCTGGGGCTTCCTGTAAGTTGGTGAATGGTCTCTGTGCTGCTGCTGGGTTAGACCTTCGTGCTCCTCCTGAATCTGTGGTCACTCACCTCTCAGGGGCTTCTCAATCAAGGTCCTCACATCTGCCCTGAGGCAGGAGCAAGCTCTGCCCAGAGGCTTTTCAGAGCTTCAAAGTACATTTTGTAGGTTGGGGGTTTTTCCATTAGGCAGGAGCTGCCCTCCGGCTTCCTCTCCTGCCCCACTTCCTACTACTGTCTGCACTCAGTGGCTCTGGCCCCCTGGCTAGTGCTCAGTCAGGCCACGCGTGCTCCCACCCCAGGGCCCTTGCACTGGCTGTTCCCTGCCTGGAGTTTCCTCACCCCTAGCCCTTGCACAGCTTGCTGCCTCACTCTTCATGCAAACTTATGCCCCAACATCCCCTCTCAGGCCTGTCCTGTCCCCACGTCCAGATAGCCACCTACACTGCCCTTTCTCTCTTTCATGCTACTTGACACTGGATATTTAGTATCTGGTGTCTGTCTTCCCAACAGCATCTGCACCACAGGACAGGGCAGAAGCATCTGCTGCACAGATGCATGAGTGACCCTGTGAACGACCCTGTGTTCTCCAGTTGCCCCAATGGAGACAGACCCTCTGGGTTCCGTCTCAGTCCCCTCCAGCGCACGCTCCCGGGGAGTGGGAATGGGTGGGACTCCTGTGAAGTCATTTCTCCCAGGACCCAGGGGAGAGGACGTGCTGAGTCATGCAGCTGTCACCTCCGTCATCTACAGAGCTTTCTCCATCTGCCCAACTGGGACTCTACCCACTACGCCCAACTCCTCATCCCCACACCCCGCCCGACCTAGCAGCCACTGTTTTACTTTTTGTCCCTAACTACTGGACTCCTCTAAGTTCTTACATGAGTAGAACCACACTGTACTTGTTTTTGTGTGTGTCTGACTCCTTTTGCTCAGCATACTGTCCTCAGAGTTTATCCACATTGTAGCGTGTGTCAGAACGTCCAGGCCGAGCAATATCCCTCCCATGTACGTACCACATTTTCATTATCTGCTCTTCTGTCGATGGACGCTTGGGTTGCTGCCTCCTTCTGGCTGTGGTGAATCTTGCTGCTGTGAATACAGGTAAAAAAAGACCTGTTTGAGCCTCTCCTTCTGTCTTTGGCTCTATACCTACAAGTGGAACTGCTGGCTCCCGTGCTAACCCTGCGTTTGATGTTTTGAGGGACTGCCATGTGTGCTCCACAGTGGTTGTGCCACTTCACATCCCCACCAGCAGAGCACAGAGTTTGAGATTATCCACGTCCTTACCAATACTTGCTATTTCCTGCTTGTCTTTCCTGTGATAATTGCTATCCTGTTGAGTGCAAGCGCCATCATATTATGGTTTTGATTTAATGATTAGTGGTGGTGAGCACATTATCAGGTGCTTATCGGCCATTCATATAACTGCTTTTGAGAAATGTCCATTCAAGTCCTTTGCCCATTTTTAAAAATCAGATTTTTGTCATTGAGTTAATTGTAGGAGTTTATATATATATGTGTGTGTGTGTGTGTGTTTATATATGTATATATGTATACATGTATATACACACGTGATACATATATGTACACATGTGCATACATGCACGCACAAGTGTGTGTGTATACACATACACACACACACATATACTTTTTCTGGCAATTAACCCCTTATAAAATATATGTTTTGCTGATATTTTCTCCCATTCCAGGAGTCGCCCTTTCACGCTATTGATTGTATCCTATAGAGCACAGAATTTTACATTTTGATTTTGTCTAATTAATCTAGTTTTTCTTCTGTTGTCTGTGCTTTTGGTGTCATATTCAACAAATTTGCTGGGTCTAACATCACAAGGCTTTTCCCTTGTATTTTCTTCTAAGTATGTTATAGTTTTAGCTTTGAAGTTTAGGCCTTCGATCTGTTTGGGGTTTATTTTTCTATGTGGTGTGAGGTAGGGGTCACTGTCCCTTTGCCCTGACCTCTACAGGGGAAGCATGTGCTGATAACCTTAATTTTCCCAGTGAAAGGTCATCCTCGTCTTCAGAGCCTCCCTCCCGAGCCTTTGCCTGGCCTGTGTCCTGTGTCCACAACCAAGCACCCACCCCAAAGTTTTCTGTACCTGCATAATTCAGTGTTCCCAGGCTTCAGACAGAGCCTGACCTCATTATGGGCTGAGATCACTCAGGCTGCCAGCTCCTTCCCAGGCCTCTCAAGAGCAATACCTAGAGATGAAGTTCTTGCTCTTTGATCAAGTTTGTGTCCTTGTTTTGTTTTTGATTTTTTATTTGAAAATCTTTATAGAAGCATAGGAAGATCAAAAGATTGTTTAGAGAGGTCCTGTGTACCCTTCACCTGGTTCTCCCAGTGGCTAAATTTTATGCAAATACCTAGCTTTTAAATACTTAAATTTGCAAAAGCTCTGAACTAGGCTTTACCAAAACAACCTGTGGGGAAAGGGCTTATTTTGAGGCTTCGGACAATTTAATTTACTGGGTGTCCTTACTGGGATGGAGTCTTGCTAAATATTACCATAGTTCATCATAACTGATGATGTTAAGAAAAAAATATGTATTAATATTCAATAAAGCATGATAAAGAAAACTTTTTCAGGACCATCTCAATAGGTGTAGGGACCACTCAACCAGGTCTTGCCATGAGGAGGAGATTGGGCTCAACTCTGAACACAGCTTGGACAGGTGGGAATTTATAGCCAAGGAGCAGCATGAGGGTCAGAGAGGAGAAAATCACTAAGAGGAAACATCAGGGTGAGGGGGACTCTGGCTAAACTGACCTAGCAAGGTTCTTGCTGAAGATGTCTGGGGGATCAGACATCACCTGGTCAGTGGTGGAGATAGGAAGCTGACAGGTATCAGAGACCAGGCTTCTTGCTCAGCCTCTTGGAGGTGTCTTCTGAACAGATTCACCTCTTCCGAGGAGAGGTGGCTTACTCCAATGTCTAGCTCCTGGTGGCTCTTCAAACACAAGAGTGGCCCAATAGATTTCTGTTAAACTCAAATCACATGTGCAAAAAACTACTCAGCTGTTTCCTCTGATCCTTTTACACTTTCTTTTTGTAAGAATTGGTGTGGAAAGGGAGTCTCAGTGTGTTACTGCAGGAAATGTTCCTTCTTTTCTAAGATGGGGGCTAGAGAAGCCGATGAGCATGGATACGGTGAGAGGGACCCAGAGGTGGGGCCAGAGCCATTGGTCATGGTGCCTTCTGCTGTCATGTCCACCCACAGGTGCACAGAGCTGTCTTGTTTTCAGAGACTACCTAATTAGTTGATAGCTACATATGTAAGAAAATAAATATAATATATAATACAAACTTATTATTTAATTTAACGTATAACCTAGATCTAAATATAGTGTAGGTTTATAGCTTTCACATTTACAATCTGCTGTAACAATTTAGAAGTTCAGTCCTACGACTGGGAGTTCCCTGCGGAGCTGCCCTGTCTGTCCTGCAAGCTTGGCCTCAGGGGTGAGTTCATTTGGAAGCGTGTGGAGATGTTGTTGAATGATTTCTTCTAGGAGTTTCTTGTTTTGGACCTGAATTTTGCCTGTGGTGTAGGTCAGGTTAGAAGTCTTTTTTCCCACCTCTTTATCCAGCCATCTTCTATTAACTCGGATGCTAGGGTGAACGTTCTCACCACTGGTCTTCACTTCCAGGCGAAAGTCATCATTGGACTGGCCTTTGACTGCGTGGACAAGATGATTTACTGGACGGACATCAGCGAACCTTCCATTGGGAGAGCCAGCCTGCACGGTGGGGAGCCAGCCACCATCATCCGACAAGGTGGGCAGGCAGACACTTCGGGGAATCCATTGCTAGCCAGCCTCGGGGGAATAAAATCAAACAGGACAGTGCCTGTGCCTTTCTCTGGAGCTCATGTGGTCAGTTTTCATGAACTAGAAAGGCCAAAATCACTGTCTGTTTGTAACCCAGTCCCCGTCTGGCTGCTGAGCCAGGTTCTCGGGGTGCACGTAGTGTGCTCAGAAGGTTTCCCAAAGGCAACAGGTGGGTAAATCATGAAGTTGGGAGAGTTGCCAGCCACTTCCAAGCCTGAGCTATGAGTCTATGCCCTAGATGGTGGTCAAGGTAAAGGGCTGTTGCATCAGCCTGCAACGCAGGTGCAGGGGTGGGGGTGGGGGGTTGCTGCTCTTTCTTCCTCACACCCCAGAGGCTTACTTGGGATTGCTTAGGTCAGAAAAGTGTAGCAAACCAGGCTGGATTCTTTAGACAGTCCTGTGTTTGTTGATCACTGGTAGTGAAGCGCATGCTGCCTTGGCGTAGCCTACCTTCAACATTTCATCTCTATCCCTTGACTTAAGGATGCTGAAGTCAGCCAAGGGCTCTGTGCATGATTTTAATGCCTCCAGGTGAAAAATCTAGACCATTTTGTTTAAGTATGTTTTACATATCTATAACAAAAATCCCAGGATCTGTAAAAATTCCTCTGAACCAAAACTGTCAAGAAGCATGCGTTGCTTAAGTTATGCCTCCTCGTCGGTTGCCTCGAGAATATTCTTACTCAAAAGACACCACCTTTGGTGTTATTTGTTGTAGAAAACACTCTTGCTCCTCTGTAAATATTCAGAGACTCATCTATGCAGGACAGAGGCTTCATGTTGTGTTTCTTTTCCCTTGGGACTGAGTGTGGCTTCTTCAACTTCTAGGTTCAAGATTCTCTCACAGATGATGTTCTGAAGGGTCCTATGTCTGTGGAGCTGCCCCTGGGGCATGCTTTCCTTTCCTCAGGGCCTTCCGCAGAGACCATGCAGCAGGAATTAAACTGAGTCTGAGTTGACTCTGCCTGGCTTTGCCCTTGGACCCTAAATCCTTTTCTGGAAACTGATGGGCTATTAAATGATGTCTGCTAGTGTTCCTGCTCTGGCTTAAGGAGCTGGAGATTTGAAAATGCCCTTTTGCCTGTTATCTCTATTGAAAAGCTCTTCCTATTATCTACAATTCAAGTTCAAAACCCAGTGGATGAGGGGAGTAGGTCATCTTCTGCTATTTCCTGTTGCCTTTGGAGCTGATAATCATCCAAGAAAGCTTCAAGCACATTCCAGGCAAAAGCCTACTTAACTGCAGAAGCACAGAATTAAACCAAAAGGAGAAAGAAACGTCCAGTGGACTCCTTGGTGTGACAAGGCGGGTGCTTCCCTTGGGAGTCTGGGTGGTCCTGGGCATTATCCCTTTCCCCCCTGATTTTGTACAGTCTGAATCCAGGGTGTCTCTTTCTTTCCCCACACTGAAGTCCTGATATCTCCAGTAAGCGTAATCTTCCATTTCCTTTTGACATAGCAGCAGGGGACATGTGACCTTGCCTGTGCAAAAGGGGACGGGCTCTCCAGGCCTTCCCTTTAGAAGAACCATCCATGAAGCAGCGTCTTCGGGGTGGGGGAGGGAGGCTTACGGCTTTTGGTTTGAGATCAGGACCTGGCTGTGTACCTGACGTGGAGCTCCCTCAGGGGTTCCCCTGGTGCCTGCAAAGACACTGTTGTGGGCAGCCCACATCTGTCACCCGATGCCCTCATTCCTCCTGTGCACAGAATGGATTATTCTGGTTCCTTCTGGAAGCCAGAGGGTCCTCTCGCTGTCCTTTGGCCTCTAGGGGGATGGGGAAGATCCAGAGCGCTCCTTTGGGTATGAATAGTAATAGAGATGGTGTGGGAGTGTGGGTTCTGCTGAGGGCTCCTTTCCCAGAGCTTGATGTTTCCAGAGTTTGTGGCCCACTGCCATGCTGGGCCCAGTGAGGCTGATCCAGAGGGGCTGAGGGGCCATCACTCATACGCAGACGAGGCAACATGGTACTAGATGGTTCTCTTACCCCAGCGGGAGCAGCCTCTTCCCCTTCCTGCCTACACCCCAGCCATGCTCAGGGACCCTCTGTCCTCCATTCAGGGGGAGAACCTAGAGTGCCAATAAATTCCACAATGTCATTTTTTAACTTCAAAAAAATTTATAGTCAGAAAACCATAGGAAACTTGACCTTTGGACCAAGTGCTGCAGGCTTGCTGTGAAGACTTTGCTGTGCAGTGACAAAATGGCAGCTGGGGTCCAGGAAGACAGTGGGTGTTATTCATAGTCACTGGCAGCACTTTTTGATACCCCTTGTGCTTGTATGAAAGTACAGTTTCCCTGAACGCCTTGGTCCGCATAGTTAATGAGGAAGATACATTGTCTGTCACCACCTTGAGACCGTCCCCTGCCTCCCTTTACCTGGGAGTTGAGCTCTGAGCTCACCGCTCAGGCATCCTCTCTGTGTCTCTAGCCACTCTCCCAGCCTCGCGGTCTCCAGCCATAGAAAATGACACACTGTCCATGTCAAGCCTTTTCCAGTCTTCCTGGATGCCTGTGTGCTGCCCACTACCTGGAAACACTTACCTGGCTTCTTTGCCTGACAGACTCCCATTGGTCCTTCAGGAGCCAACGTTGAGAGGTGTCTTTGCCCCCAGGGATGCTTTCCTGGTCTCTGCAGGCTGGGTCCCGTGTCTCTTCTCCATGGTCTCAGTAACTCAGTCTGAATTGTGATTGGCTGTGGTCTACTTAATGGCCTGGCCATAGCTTAGTAGTCGGTGACCATCCTGTTTCTCAGGGCAGCACACAGGAATGAACAAGGAGAGAATGAGGGGCATTCTCACATTTGTTGCTTTGAGTTGCTTATCTTATAAACAACAAGCATTTCACATTCCATTTGGTTTCTCAAAAGTGCAAGGATTGGATGGACTGTGGAGCAGCACTGAGCAATCAGAGAAGGCTGATCTTGTAATCCCAGGGGCTTGGGAGGCTGAGGCAGGAGGATCGAAAGTTCAAAGCCAGCCTCAGCATCTTAGCGAGGCTCCAAGAAACTTAGCGTGACCTTATCTCAAAATACAATGCAAATCACCTGGGGATGTAGCTAGGTGATAAATTGCCCCTGAGTTCAATCTCCAGTACCCCCTCCCCCCAAAAAATGATCTTAGGCTGGGGACGGAGCTCAGTGGTAGAGCATTTGCCTAGCATGGCCAAGGCCCTGGGTTTGATCGTCAGTGCTGCAAAAGAAAAAGAAAAGTCTAATCTCACCTGCTTAGAAGAAAACAATCCCAGAAGTTCCATCTTTGGTTCTAGATCTGGGAAGCCCAGAAGGTATTGCCGTTGACCATCTTGGCCGCAACATCTTCTGGACCGATTCCCACCTGGATCGAATAGAAGTTGCAAAGCTGGATGGCACACAGCGCCGGGTGCTTTTTGAGACGGATTTGGTGAATCCAAGAGGCATTGTGACGGATTCCGTGAGAGGGTATCTTTGTGTAAATGTGTGTGCATCTACTCTGTCTGGTCCTTTGGCTATTCCCTGATGTGAGGTTCTAACTCAGCCTTGCTCTCCTGACTTGAGTACAGGATACCTGTGGGCCTACAATGGGTGACCTGCTTGCCTTAGTCAGTCCCTTGGGTCTGCTGTGCCCTCCTGTGTGACGGCAGCATGCTGGGTACCGTCGTGTGTTTATGCCAGTTACAGAGCATTGTTTTGTTAATAGCTCTTTTGAGATATGTCCTTTAGGTTAAAAGGAACTGAATTTGATAATTGAATAACTAAGTCCGAGGCAGGAGCACTAGGTCCAAGGGTCCTTGCACAGGGAAAAGCTTCTTCACCCCTCCAGATCCTGTGTAGGCGTTCTGTTTTCCTATCTGCCACTCTTGTCTTCAGGTTCCTTAAAAGCATTTTTTATTAACTTTTCCCTCAATGTCTTCAATATTTCCTCTTCCTCTTTCCCTTCCTTTTCCTCTGCCAGGAACCTTTATTGGACAGACTGGAACAGAGACCGCCCCAAAATTGAAACTTCCTACATGGATGGCACCAACCGGAGGATCCTTGTGCAGGATGATCTGGGCCTGCCCAACGGCCTGACCTTTGATGTGTTCTCTTCCCAGCTATGCTGGGTGGATGCAGGTGACGGGAGCTTGACTCTGGGAGCATCCTTGATCTCAGGCAGGAGTTGGCCAGCTGACCCGCTGCCTGGTTTTATATAACAGGAAGCTCTGAATGGCTTTTATATTGTAAAACATTGCATTTTAAATGGTTATATAAACACCTGAGTGCCACCCTCGATTTTGCCTCTGGGCTCACAGAACCTATCTGTCCTTTCAGAGGTTGGCTGTCCCCTGTTCTAAGTGGCATTGCATAGTGCCCATAGCTCCCTCGTGTCCCCAAGAGCTTAGATGCAACGTTGAGCCCAGGAAGACACAAGGAAAGCAACCCCCATGGGGTCCCTGCAGTGTGCCCTGCTTTGGCAGATGTGGGGTGTCCCTCAGGATAGGGATGTAGGCAGGTTGCCGATTAGGGAGGAATGTCCCTGTCTGTAAAAGTCTGTTGCATTCCTTCTCCATTCCCTACACTGTCAGGTGCACAGGGGATGCAGAGACAGTGGGACTTGACCTGTCTGGTTGGGACAAGGGGGTGAGATAAACTCTGAGATGATAAGGCAGCCTCTGACCGGCATGTGAGGCCTCAGTGCAGGCTGTACACAGCTGCTGAGCAGCAGCAACCCCCCAGCACGCTGAACCCAGGGAGCAGGGACTTGATCAGGAGCTGGAGGATGTCGCCCCCTCCTCAGAGGAGGAAAGCCTAGGGTGCCTGAGGCATGGTTCCTCTGCCCTGGCTCATGTCTCCCCAGCAGGACCAGGTGTGGGTGCCTGGACACAGGGGTGGTGACAGACCAAGGGGCAAGGTGGGAGGAAGGGACAACCACGTGTTGAGAGCAAGTTGTGCGTGTTCCTGAGGACTTGGCCGTGCAGCACAGAGCGTCTCCCACCCTCGCCCTCCTTGGTCTCGTCTTGTGACACAAAGGGCCCATTTCTTGCATGAACAATGACCGCCTTGTTTTTGCTGCACACAGGCACCCATCAGGCAGAATGCCTGAACCCGGGTCAGCCCAGCAGACGCAGGGTTCTCGAAGGGCTCCAGTATCCTTTCGCTGTGACGAGCTATGGGAAGAATCTGTATTACACAGACTGGAAGACGTATGTCCACTGTGGCCATGGGGACTGGGCAGGCCTGCTGTCCCACCCTGTCTCTGGGAGACCAGGCCCTTCCCTCTGGCCTCTTGACTTGATCTTTGAGCCTTCAGAGATGCCTTCTCACTGTCACCCTTCTGGTTGTGACAGAGGAGGGTGGAGGAGGGAGATCAGGACTCTGGGGAGAACGGGGGGGGGGGCATATATCATCTGGATGCCCCTAGCTGGGCACCTCAGATCTATAAACTTGGATTTCCTGAGTGTGTCTGTTCTTTCTCAGGAGCTGGCCCAAGATCACTTAGCTGGGGGGCTCCAGGCCTGCCTCATTATAGTCCTCAAACTGCAATATCCTTGTCTCTTCTTGACCACCACTTCCTACAGTTGGAGGTTTAGCTCGAGGAGGTGACTGGCAAGGGCCTGTGTATAGCTACTAGGTCTCTCCCAAAATTTAGTGTGGGAGGAAGGAGTGAGCTAATTTTTGCCTTTAAGAAGTCAAAGAAATGCAGTCTTGACTCCCAAGGGGAGGGAGGGATGCCTAGGGCCCCCGTGTCTATTTATGGACTCCAATTTTTCCCTAAACCGCACAGAGGCTGCCCGGTGGAGGAAAGGTCAAGCCACCAGATACGTTTTTCAACCTCTTCCCTTCTGTGCTTTGTAGGAATTCCGTAGTCGCTGTCGATCTTGCTATTTCCAGAGAGACAGATAGCTTCCAGCCCCACAAGCAGACCCGGCTATATGGCATCACCACCGCCCTGTCACAGTGTCCCCAAGGTAACGCACCCATGCTGAAGCTCCTGGGGGCTGGGGGGATCCTCATAGCCTACATCATGGCTGTCACATCTGCTGGTAGCCTGATCCCGCGATGGGTGAGCTGCAGTTCCACCCTCCAGGGTTCTTTATCACTGAGTGGTGAGCCAGACACAAACAAAAGATGAGAAATGGACATGGCGGGCAAAGTCTTGAGTCTCAGGCTGGGCCTGGAGGTGCTTGGCCTTCAGGTTCCAAATGGGAACCTTAATGTTAGGATCTCTGCAGCTTTGAGTTTTCGCCCATTTAACCTGACAGCAGCAGCAGTAGTTAACAAGAAGAACTGCAAACTCAGCGTGGTGTGTGCTGTGGGCGGGGCACTTCCTGTGCACAACTCAGCCTTCATTCAGTCTTCCTGGCAGCCCTGTGCAGTGGGCACTGTTGTTATGCTCATTTTAAAATCAACCTGCTCCCTCACAGTGGCAGAGCCACAGGGAGCTCCAGGTGCCTGGCTCCCCAGATTGTGCTGTGCTGCTTCTCCAAGCCCTTGGTCTGACCCATTTCCTCCTCCACTTCCCTCCTTTGCCCAGTCCAAGTGGAGACTGGTGTACCAGCTAGACTGCAAGCACTTTGTACTTTAAAATTCCAGCTCTAAATTGGAGTTGGGAATCCTCCATGAGGCCTATTTAATAACTTCAGTGATGAATATGTATAGCTGCCAAATTAGGAATCTGTGCTCTTACCCATGTGGTGTAACCATGAGGGAATAATAACTAGCTCAGCTTTAGCTGAGTGCTAGGCCCAGTGTTCCCTCTTCCCCTGGATCCCTCATGAGCTTGGCCTTTGGGAAACCCAAAAGGGGTTCAGAGAGAGGCCTCTCTCTTAAATGGCTGTCAAGTCAGGTCAAAGAGGAGGCTGTAGACCTGATTTCTGCCTTTTCCAGGTCACAACTACTGCTCGGTGAACAATGGTGGCTGCACCCACCTCTGCTTGGCCACCCCGGGGAGCAGGACCTGTCGTTGCCCTGACAACACTCTGGGAGTTGACTGTATAGAGCGGAAATGAAGATCAGAGTGTCTTATCCCCATCCAAGTATTTCACAGCAGCACCCTACTTGAAACTACTAGGTCCAGATTGAAAACTGCCCTCCAGCTGACTGACCACTGGGCCCAGGCTAGCCAAGCCTAAGCAACAACTTTCCCCTCATTCTTCACTAGAACATACACCCTGGACTTCTGCAGTGGGAAATCTCTGCACGAGGACAGGATCACCCACCCTGACCCCAACACTCAGATGAGCTCATAGAGCCCAGCTCAAAATTAGGTGCCATCCAGTGCCCCAAGTCCTTTCCCCAGGGTGAGCAGACTCTTCATAGGCCTGAGTGGTCCATTGTTCTGTGGCCTTATGAGCTCAGCCTTGATTCTGAGCCACCTACCATCCTGGCAGCTCCTTGTCACACCAGCCAGGGCCTTCCTAGGTGAGGTTGGGAGGGAGGAAGGAAAGGAGGGAGAAAGCCCTCACAGGCTTCCTTTCTTTATTCGCATCTTTTTTGCCCCTTCATCCTACCTGAGGTGACAGCTGTAGTGTGTGTGCTCTGCCTTTTAATTGCACCATCCTAAGAACATACAGGTATTTAGTAGATGATAATGAGTAGCACCCCCTGGATAAAACATTGGCATTTCAGCAGTAGTCTTTGGTAGTCAAAGGCTTAAATTGAAAGGTATTCTGAGGTAGGAATTTTAAGATGTAGAATCAGATGTTTGGGGATAGGGGATTATGTTCATGTGCCTTAAATTATACCAAAGATCACCAAATTATTTCTCTCTGCCCAAAGCACCTGCTTCTCAGTCTCTGATCACTAATGCTGTGCTAGACTTCAGTGCCACTGCTGGTACCTGTGTTCTGTCTCCTCATGGAGACCTGTCTGAGGCACAGGCTGGGACTGGTTCCGGGTGACCCATCACAGCACCTCATCTCTGTCCTCCATGCCTGAGAACCAATATACTCTCAACCACCAACTCACTTCTTTGTTTCTCTCTCTATCTGTGCCTCTTGCTGTGTGTATTCTTACTTAAAGACACAATCCAGGAAGATCTAGTTGAGAGTTTATATTAATAGTTCAGACCCCTTAATTTCTCATTGGTCTAATTCAAGGGACCATTGCTTCATTTCATGTTTATGTTTCTACAATTTTTTTGTGAAAAAAAAATTTCCTGACCATATGAGTAATTAATGTTCATCTTTTTTTCCAACCGTCTCCCAAATTCCTAAAACAATAGAAATTTTGGATTGAAAGTTGAGCATAAGGAGTTTGAGTTGGTAGAGGGTAGAGCAAGGGCAGAGAGAAGACTCAGTGGAAAGCACCACAGAGAGACTGAGGGAGAGCAGGAAAGGAACATCCGAGAGGAAATGTTGGGGGGATTCAAGAACAGCAGTAACTAGCCCCTTTAAATAATGCCAAAGAGATGGATGGGGAGCAGGAAAGGTGAACCCCAGAGGAAGGGGAGGGAAGAGGACTTAGGAACAGCAAGAACAAAAATCCTTAAAAAGTGCCAAAGAGAAAATGGAACATTTTGCCAAAGAATGCTTATCCTGAGGACATGGAAGATTTTGCATGAAATTCTCCCTGTGGAAGGATTCCACTTTCTTACAGGCCCAGCACACTCAGCACTTCCTGCTTCTGTCCTCACCTGCCCTGCAGTACCTGGGAGCCTGGGTTGCGAGGGTGGCTTTCTCTATACAGTTGGGTTTGAATGGCAACTATATCCCCAAGAATCACAAGATTTGGGGAACACATGGACCTTATATGTAGCACAACTCAATAAATTTCTTTTTATATTTATCATTCCATATTAAACCCTCTATATCAAATGTTCAACATGATGTTGTATGATTTTCATAACTTTTATTCATTTCAATAGACATTCTAAAATGTTTCAAATGGTAAGTTCTTAAACTGTGGAAACCATTGAAGGTGCTTATTAACTGTTCTCCCAGATTATACAAGTGTTGAATGATTCCTTGAGTTTACAGCTGTACAAATATTAGTGCAGGAAATTAAAAAATTTTGTTAAAAAGAAAGTCTCCGTGTTTTCTAAATGAGAGTCTTTCTGTTGGCCGGTGGGGGCAGGGGCAGCTTCATGATGGGAAAACAGATGAGTTAATAATCTGCAAAACCCGTGAAGCCTAGAGATTCTTCCTCAGTGTTAAAATGAGTTGTGCATTTCCCACAGTTCACAAAGACTTAGGGACTTGGAATTGACTCAGAAAGTATTCATATCATAGGCCCCAAACCACACTTTTACACATTGTTTACATTTTTTTCTAGAAAATATATCCTAGCTGCAGGGAATAGAATTTCCTGTTTCAATTCTGAAAGTGAGTTTCCCCCACTCCTTACCTTCAGGAGGAGGAAGATGCTTTCTTGACAGTGGTCTGATCTGTTAGGTCACCCATGGGCAGAGCCACCCTATGTCTCTGGAAGGGCTGAGAATGGCCTCTGAACAGGACAGAGGAAAGGGGGCTCAGGTGGCAGGACCAAGGTGCTCTTGTCTGCAGTGGACCGAGGTGCTCTTGTCTGCAGACAAGGGCCTCAGCACGTGAGGACCCACCTGTGAAACGTCACTGTCAGTGGAATCCACGTGCAGTCTGCCCATGTGAGTTGCTTGAAATGGACACTTGTCTTGGTGTGAAATTTTCCAGGGTTTTCTACTGGCTGTAAAACTTAGTTATCTAAAGATGACATCAGGGAAGATGTGGAACAGGAAGCTCCAGGGGTCCATCCTCCATCAGGTCCACAGCTGACCTGGCAGGCGCTCTGAAGCCACTATTTGGTAACTCTGGGTCCAGCAGAACCCGTGCAGCACCCAGGAGGGACTGGGAAGAGGCTGGTCAGTGTTAGTGAACTTCAGCTTTGGCTCAGTCACATCTACCCTCTCCCAGGACACGCAGACCACATATCTGTGGCTTTCTGGAGCCGGGGAGCAGGGGCACTAAGAACTGGTTCTCTGAAAATCAGGATCATATATTTCTGAGCATTGAGTTCTGGTTCGTAGAGAAAATCTTTGTGACACTGGGTTTGGCAGTGGTTTATTGAATATGACATCAAGAGCACAAGCAAGAATGGGCTCAATCCTCAGTACCAGAGAGAGAGAGAGAGAGAGAGAGAGAGAGACTAAACACACAAAGAACAACAACAACAACAACAAAAAACAGATAAATTGGACTTCACCATTAAAAGTGTTTGTGCATTGAAGGAGACAGTGAAAAGAGACAGTCTATTAAAAGGGAGAAAATATTTGCAAAAACAATACCAGATAAAGAATTAGGATTCAGAAATATAAAGACCAACAACTCAACAACAATAGGAAAAAAAATTCAAAAATAAATAATGGATATGAATAAATGTTTTACAAAGACACACAATTGGCCAATAAACATGTGGAATGAAGCTCCTAGGGCTGGGGGTGTAGCTCAGGGTTGAAGAACTTGCCTGGTGCTTGCCATGTGAGAATGAGGCCTCGGGTTCAATGCCCAGCACTGCAAAAAAAGGAAAAAGGTTCCTCATCATTAGTCATGAAAGAAATGCAAATCAAACCCCAAATTTGGTACTACTTCATACTAATTAGGAAAAAAAAAAGTGCAAAGTGATGTGCAAAAATCGGAACTTCTTTGCATTGCTGGTGGGAAAACAATTTGGTGGTTCCCCCCAAAAGTGGAAAACAGAATTACCCTGTGATCTGGTAATTCCACTCCTAGGTACAGACCTGCAAAAATCAGCCGGGAGGACTGGAACAGATAGGTGTAAGCTAATATCCACTGCCACATTCCTCACCATAGTCAGAGGGTGGGAACAACACAGGTGACTATCAAGGGATGAACAGATAAACAAAATGGTGTGTGAATGCTGTGAACACATGCAGATTCAGCCATGAGGAGGAGGGAGGCCCAATACGTGCCGCAGTGTGGATGAACTCAGAGACCTTATGTCTCTTGAAGTAAGCCGGACACAAAGGAAGAAGCACTGTATGAGTCTACTTACATAAAGAATCTGCACTAGACAGATTCATAGAGACTGAAAGTAGATTCGGAGGAATGGAGTTATTGCTCGATGGTTTCTGAGCTTTTGTTAGTGGCCATGAAAAGATTTTGAAAGTAGACAGTAGTAACAGTTGCACAACATTGAGAATGTAATTTGTGCCACAGAGTTGCACACTTAAACATGGTTAAAGGACAAACTTCATGTCTAATGTATATATATTCTACCGCAATTTTTTAAAAATTAATAAGGTAATACACCAAAAAACATTACCCATACACTTTAAGTGAAATTTATAGCATGTGAATTTTATCTCAGTAAATCTTTGTTTTAAAAAACTCCTAGTTGGGCTGGGGTTGTGGCTCAGCAGTAGAGCGCTCACCTAGCATTTGCAAGGCCCTAGGTTTGATCCTCAGCACCATGTAAAAATAAATAAATAAAATAAAGGTATTGTGTCCAACTACAACTAAAAAATAAATATTTTTTAAAAAACTAGTTACCTAAGTTTGGCAAAATGCCACTCGTGGTGGCAGCTGGCTGTTTGCTAAAGAGCTTGAGATCCTGATTAGGTGCAGCTGTGGAGGGACTGCAGATGGGATCAAGGTTACTAATCAGCCAACCCTGAGACAGAACAAAGACACTGGGTCATCCAGGTGGGCCTTCAGAAACAGACAAGGAAGGCAGGGGTCCACGAGGTGAGGCAGATGAGGGCCAAGAGCAAGACAGTGCCACCTACCATTTCTGGGTCCTGAGTGGAGGATGGAGTCGGGAGTGGAGGAGAAAGGTGACTTCTAGAGGTGAGAACAGCTCCCGGCAGGTGGGAACCTCAGTCCCACAACTGTAGGGTGTAAGGAATGGTGGAAAAGCTCCGTAAACTCAACAAGCCCAAACAACAATTTTATTAGCAGGACCATAGCGGCCAGTAGCAGAAGAGAATGGGGGGAGAGGAGAGAGGGGAGAGAGAGGGGGGGGGGGAGAGAGAGAAGGGAGAGAGAGAGGGGAGAGAGGGGGGAGAGAGAGGAGAGAGAGGGTGAGAGGAATAGCGGGGGAGAGAGAGAGGGGGAGAGGGTGAGGGGAATAGAGGGGGAGAGGGGGAGAGGGGGAGGGAGAGAGAGGGGGGAGTAAGAGAGAGAGCTTGAACAGGGTGTTGATATTTATGGGCTTAACACAGGATGACGAGGAGCAAGGTGAGTGGGCTGTTACTTCTTCATTGGCCGAGAGTTCGTGCCACTTCAGGGATTGGGGGTGCACCATTCAAAGTTTGCGCCATTCACAGGGATTGGAGGTGACGGTTTGGGCGCCATTCAGTGCATCATGGACCTGAGCTCCCGGAAGAGAAGCGCTCGAGGCGCCATCTTTACCAATATAGGGGATGGGGGCTTGTGAGCGGATTCTTCCCAGAGCCTCTGGCAAGGGCTTCAGCCTGGGACACTGTCAGCAGAGGACGTGGCTGAGCCACATGGGATGGCTCTCCTGCCCCTCAGCACTGAAGACAATAAAGGTGTTGGTTTACGAGCTACGTGAGTGTGATTTGTCACACAGTGATACAGAACTTTCTAATGCACTTGTTGCAGCTAGGTATTGCCAAATGGAACATGTCTTGTCCCTTCCATGTGTCCATCGGCCACCCTGATCTGGGCCCCAAGAGGCTGATCAATGTCGACAACATTTGGCCTCTCCTGCTCCCTGGGTTACTAGCAGGAGGCGGAGGGCAGGTGGGAGTGGGATGGGGCATCTCCCTGACTCGCGGCCACATAGCTCAGGGCAGGCTGAACCCTTGACTGAAGGTCACAGCCCCTCTCAGGGTGTCCCTCTATCTACACTCTGCCTAGGCCCCAGGAACCACCCCCCCCCCAGGCTCGGGGAGGTGACAGGCCCCTGTTTTTCCCCCCGGGGACTGCTCTATTCCTTTTCATTCCCTGCACCCCTGACAAAACTGTCAACCTCAGACAAAACTTTAATCCTTCCTCAAGGGATTTAATTTGAGGTCATCTGTTTGTTGTTGTGACCCTAAATTAGAAATTCATAACTTCATGATCCCTACTTTTGTGTGTTTGAAATTTTATATAGTTTGATTTCTAAAAAATGTAGAGCTATCTTCTAGTTGTATCTCGTTTAATTTTGTACATGTGCATTACAGTATAACTAACGGGAAAATTACACAGAGGTGCCCAAAAAGGTACAGAAATGTCCAATTTATTTACTAGCTCATTTCAGTTCTCAGACTTGGGACTGCTGATGGCAGACAGCTTGTCCTGCTCCTCTAGATGTCCCCAGTTGCACATAGCCATTTATCAGTCCCTTGTTGTGCTCAGGAGTGCCGTTGCCCTGTCCTTCCTCAGGTCTACCTCTAGACTCCAGAGCCTGGTCCTCCACACAGCACAGTCTGACCCATGTGAGACTGGGCTTGTGCTCCCTGTGTCCCTCTGAAGACCTCCCACCAGGCCCTCCCTTGGCCTTCTCACCTTGCCCACCTGACCTAACTGGACCTCAGCTCCTCTTCACCCCTTCTGCAGAAGGCAAGGTCCAGCTGTCCTGCCTCCCGCAAGGGGGACTGGGTAGTCAGTGGGGAGTTCTCAGGGCCACCCTGCCCTAGAGAGGGCCATGCAGGATGTGGGAATCACCCATGCACCCACAGCTCTTGCTTTTCCTGCATATTGAGCACGCTGACCCAGGGCCAACTCCCTTCTTCCCCTTCCCTCCTGCTCTGCTCAAGCTCTCCTGGGGGCTGTAAGGCACAGGGGCTGCAGGCCTTTCTCTTTTTAACCTTGGCTCACTGTCATTCCCACCACCGTGCTCCCAAGGACAAATGGAGGCCCCAGCATCTCATTCCAAAGGCA